ATACTCCCTCAAGGTGTTCTTGAGATATAATTTTCACAAGAATATGACGGACGTCACGCTAACCTTAACCTCTGACCACCAAAATCTAATTAGTTCATTCCTTGAGTACAGGTGGAGGTCTGTGCTAAGATTGAAAAATTCCATCAAGGTGTTCAAGATAACACATTCAAGAGAATGAGACAGATGAAGTCACAATTACTCTGGTCTTTGACCTATGACTACCAAAATCTAGTCAGTTTATCGTTAAGGCCAAGTGGACATTTGTGCCAAATTTGAGGAAATTTCCTCAAGGCCTCCTTGAGATATTGTGTCCATACATATGTCCGATGGAGGGATGTATGTATGGATGGACATCCCTAAAATATAATATGTCTGGCCATGGCTATTACCGGTGCGGAGGCATAGCAAAGGTGAAAACACTAGGTCCATTTCTGGTATAATATACTGGAGCTTAAGAAGAACATACAACACCAAATTAACTGGCAAACGTGTCCTCAATACCTGGATTAACATAGCAGAACACCTTTTGAGGATTTAAATATTAATATAATTTAAGCAGCCACAGATAGCTTCTATTGTGGGAGAAATTGCATAAAATAATGTATTCAAATGAAATAATGGAGGTCATTGTGGTAAAAAGGAGGCTTTCACCCTCTATCTTTTCATTTAACATGTCTTTTCTTATCACGCTCTACACATCTCCTTCCCCACTCTTTTCTAATGAAACATCCTCACACCATCTTTTCACACTTTCTGTACCGTCTGGCTTTTCTTTCATTTTTGTTTTTTATTAAAACAGGGTCCTCAGTTCATTTGAATCAACCAAAAGATATGCGTAGCCTGCTGCTTCACTGTTTCCTTACCAATGACTAAACTGTTGTAAGAGTTGTAACAGTTAAAACACCTGCTCAGACCTGGATTTTTCTCCAGGCACATCCTCACCCTCACAGAGAGACACAGGCTTGATTCCCCAGCTGTTTGGTGCCCCGGATACATCTTGGCGGAAAACCAATTAGAGTGTGAATCGTGCTCCATCTCGTTAAATGTCTCTCATTAATGCCATTTAATTAAAAGCTTATCTCCTGTTGTGGAGGTGCCAGGGCCCTGGCAACCGTGGCAGAGCCAGTTAGCAGTAGGAGATAGAAGCAAGAGGAAATGAAAGAGGGACAGTTTTATGAAGTCGAGATAGACGGACTATGGCGGACTGCCTGAACTAGTCTCATTAGGTAACTTATTTATACTGATGAGCATTTGGAATCTTTATATAGTAACCTTCATTTATCCAGGGACTGTTGACTGAGCCCAGGTGCTTCTTCTATTTTCACATTCACATACATTTCTCACCTGGGAGCTGAGCAGCAAAAGACAAATTGACTCTATGGTGTGTCATCCATCTTGTGTATAAACACTTTGTCTATAACTGAGCCCAGGGGGTCAAAGACTGCATTAATTACCAGACTGAGAGGCATAAATGAGGCAAACAAGGGACAGAGTTTCTCTGTATCCAAACTTCGGAGTTAAACTGTTGTCATCTGCTGTGTGAAATAAACCTGGGGTGCACTGCTGCTGCCTGTTAGGTCAGAATGTCATGAAGAAACCATTCCACTGTATTTCACATTTTACTTCCCACGCTAAATGTTTCTAGAAATCAACATTTCTGACCTAAGTTCCCAATGTTCCTCAGCACAGAGAAATAAAGAGTCTTTTATTTTATTTCTGCTATTTCTTTCATTTTTCTTTCTAGGAAAACACATCTTTATACCCATAAGTCTCAGCAGCCATGGAAATGCAGCATTCTAAATCCATTATAGAAAGTGCAATCTCTCTACTAACAACACATACCATCAGACCAGAGACCAGCCACCTGAACAGCTGATACACAAAAACAGGTTTGTACAACCAAAGAATTTCTGCACAAACCACCACAGACTGTCTCAGAGAAGCACATCTGCATGCTGATTGTCCACACCAGGGTTTTCTCTGACAGCAGTTTGTCAACGCAACTGACCCGTGCGGTTGTGAGGCTGGTTGAATGTACTGCAAAACTCAGGGAAACAACATTGGAGACGTCTTATGGTAGTGAAATAAACATTCAGGTCACAAGCAACAGGTGGGAATTCCTGCAGTCAGCATGCCAATGGCACACTCCCTGTGGCATCATGTTGTGTGATCAAACTGCACATTTTAGAGTGGCCTTTTATTGTGACCATCCCAAGGTACACCTGTGTTGTAATAATGCTGTTTAATCAGCATCTTGATACGCCACACCTGTCAAATAGATGGATTATTTTGAAAAAGAAGTGCTCACTGACACAAATTCTAACAATTTTGTGACCAAACAGAGAAATATATCGAGTGCATAAAAAAAGTCTTCTCTTAAAGTCTTTACCTTAAACCTGTGAAAAATGGTAGCAAAAAAAAGTGTTGCATATAAATACATACATTTTTGTCCAGTGTAATTTACATTAGAGGTGGATCATCAAGGATGAATACTTACATTTAAAGTACAAGCATCTCTGAGTTCATGAGATTTTGTGAATTAATGATTAATGAATAGCCTACAGCATACTGACATGTTTCTCTTCCATTGCTGTTGATCAGCTTGTGTACATGCAAGATGTGACCATTGGTCTTTGTAGTAGGCTATTTGTTCCGCACCTCCTCTACTGTGATTGTACGGCTGGATAAAAAGTGACAAACGCAGTGTCTTACCCAAAATTGAACATTTCTGAACTCTGGATGACCAGAATAAAATGACAAACATGCAGCACTCAGCGCAGAATAGACATTCAGTGCCTCGTCAATCTACATTGGTAGCATAGTGTAAATACGTGGTGCTCCCATTGCAAAGAATTAACAAAATACAGTAGCATCAGGACAAAAACACTTTCTTTTCAGTGAGCTGAGGTAGAGCTTTCGCTGCTGCTACATCTAGCAAGCGTTTTTCTTCCTCCTTTACCATTTAAATGCAGATTAAAACACTTATAGGTGTATATGCTGCCCAATTAGGTCTGGAAGAATTGCATCCCCAGTACGTATGGTACATACAATACTGGAGAAAAAATCACGCTCTCAGAATTTTGTATCAAAAATTATCATGAATTCTCATATTAATTCTCATGACATCCCTTGTGGTGTATGTGAGACACTGAACCATCACAATCCTACTACACTGACTGCTGTGAACTGTGTCATGCAATTTAACAGAAGAGAAATACAGGAGGTGGGACTAGAGTGACCTAACTGCACAAGCTTTGAGCTTTCATTACATATGTACAGTACAGGCCAAAAGTTTGGACACACCTTCTCATTTAATGCGTTTTCTTTATTTTCATGACTATTTACATTGTAGATTCTCACTGAAGGCATCAAAACTATGAATGAACACATGTGGAGTTATGTACTTAACAAAAAAAGGTGAAATAACTGAAAACATGTTTTTTATTCTAGTTTCTTCAAAATAGCCACCCTTTGCTCTGATTACTGCTTTGCACACTCTTGGCATTCTCTCAATGAGCTTCAAGAGGTAGTCACCTGAAATGGTTTTCCAACAGTCTTGAAGGAGTTCCCAGAGGTGTTTAGCACTTGTTGGCCCCTTTGCCTTCACTCTGCGGTCCAGCTCACCCCAAACCATCTCGATTGGGTTCAGGTCCGGTGACTGTGGAGGCCAGGTCATCTGCCGCAGCACTCCATCACTCTCCTTCTTGGTCAAATAGCCCTTACACAGCCTGGAGGTGTGTTTGGGGTCATTGTCCTGTTGAAAAATAAATGATCGTCCAACTAAACGCAAACCGGATGGGATGGCATGTCGCTGCAGGATGCTGTGGTAGCCATGCTGGTTCAGTGTGCCTTCAATTTTGAATAAATCCCCAACAGTGTCACCAGCAAAACACCCCCACACCATCACACCTCCTCCTCCATGCTTCACAGTGGGAACCAGGCATGTGGAATCCATCCGTTCACCTTTTCTGCGTCTCACAAAGACACGGCGGTTGGAACCAAAGATCTCAAATTTGTACTCATCAGACCAAAGCACAGATTTCCACTGGTCTAATGTTGCGCAGTCTCCTCTTAACAGTTGTTCTAGAGATGGGTCTGCTGCTAGAACTCTGTGTGGCATTCATCTGGTCTCTGATCTGAGCTGCTGTTAACTTGCGATTTCTGAGGCTGGTGACTCGGATGAACTTATCCTCAGAAGCAGAGGTGACTCTTGGTCTTCCTTTCCTGGGTCGGTCCTCATGTGTTGTGCCAGTTTCGTTGTAGCGCTTGATGGTTTTTGCGACTCCACTTGGGGACACATTTAAAGTTTTTGCAATTTTCCGGACTGACTGACCTTCATTTCTTAAAGTAATGATGGCCACTCATTTTTCTTTAGTTAGCTGATTGGTTCTTGCCATAATATGAATTTTAACAGTTGTCCAATAGGGCTGTCGGCTGTGTATTAACCTGACTTCTGCACAACACAACTGATGGTCCCAACCCCATTGATAAAGCAAGAAATTCCACTAATTAACTCTGATAAGGCACACCTGTGAAGTGGAAACCATTTCAGGTGACTACCTCTTGAAGCTCATCGAGAGAATGCCAAGAGTGTGCAAAGCAGTAATCAGAGCAAAGGGTGGCTATTTTGAAGAAACTAGAATATAAAACATGTTTTCAGTTATTTCACCTTTTTTTGTTAAGTAAATAACTCCACATGTGTTCATTCATAGTTTTGATGCCTTCAGTGAGAATCTACAATGTAAATAGTCATGAAAATAAAGAAAACGCATTGAATGAGAAGGTGTGTCCAAACTTTTGGCCTGTACTGTATATACAGCAAATCTCTTTTCCATATCCCCCAGGATTTAGGAAGCTATTATATTAAAACATTTGGTTGAGTCTTTAACCAGATTCTCCTTTTCTGTTGGGGCCCCAGGGTCAAGCAATTGCAAATCAAACAGTGGCACCTTGAAGCCATTCATAGTAAAAGAGGAAGCAGTGCCAAAGCTGTGACTCACCGTTGATAACCGGGGTGTACACTACGATGCCGGCAAGATTTGGGTCAGACACTGTTTTGTCAAGGATCAGCCCTCCGATGCTGCGGAACACAACATAATTAGATCATTAACTGGTGTTATTGTGTGTGTGTGTGTGTGTGTGTGTGTTTGTGTAAGGTGGAGAGAGAGAGAGAGAGACAAAAGGGCATTCTTCATCTAAATGATGTCCGCAGTGAATGTGTGCTTATCTAGAAATGGCACTAAAACTGCTTCATCAGCTGCACTGAGTGGTGAAGACTTACAGACTGAAAGACTGTGCAAGAGTTTCAATAGTTTGCAGCTTTTGTTGTCTATTGTCTGACTCTATAAAAGCCTGAAAAATGTGGTATTACCTGCCCTTACAGTGAGAGGCGAGCAAAACAACTGCTCTCCCTCCTACTGGCCATAAGGCTGCCAGGCTCAAGGGGACCCAAGGGTGTATGTGCTTATAGGTGCTGCAATTTGCTTAGAGGATGAGTCATCAAGCAAACCAGATGCTGGGAGTTGCAGACACAGAATAGCTGTTCTTTCCCCTTTGAAGACTAAACACACACACTCAGAGTTCCATACACAAACACACACACGCACACACACACACACACACACACCTGCTGATGACCATGGCAGTGATGACTGGCTCCCATCCAGAGTAGAGCAGAGTACGGCTGGCCGGGTGCTTGGAGGAGATGATGATCCACAGGGGAGTTAGACACATGAAGAAGGTGCAAACCAGTGATGACACATACGGGTAGGTATCTGGGGAAGAAGAGACACATTCATTTTTCTTGATTCATTTTCCCTCTTTGGGCAGCAGCATGGAGACGATCCCAGAATGCACTAGGGAAATGGCAGGGAAAACACCTGGGAACTGTTCACACCTGTTGGTAATCCAGCCATGACTGTGGACACATTTGGACACACACATACACACTGAATAAAATGTGACTTTTCTGAGACAGTGAAAAAGTTCATGAAACATGACATCATCAATAGCAAGGGAGTGAACTCCTCAGTTAAAGTTGCTCTCTGCAGCATAGTAAATAGATCAAAGAGAAAATTCTTAGCTAGGAATGCCATTTAGAGGGACTCCTAGGCATAAACAAACAGCAACCTCCGGGGCTGAAAAGTGAAGCCAACATGAAATGCCCAAAACTGCAGTTGTTTGAATGTCCACTTGAGGCTGACCCTAGAGGCCTCTCAATCCCCATAGACCTCCATGTTAAAATGCCCAACTTTACAGCAGAAATAAACATGTTTACATCCTGGTCCAAAATCAGTCTTGGCCTCTGTAGCTAATTTTGACATTCATGACAACTGTACGGGCGCTGAATTTTTATATAACTCACCGGTTTGCATTTTATTAAGGCTTAAAGTTATGCATAATTAAGGGAGGGGCTGCTTTGAGTGACAGACTGTCTGCTGTGTATTTGGCTTCTCAGTTAGATCCACCCCTTACTCCTCCACAGCGCCAGCCTCTTGCCCAAATACAGTAACTTCTAGCTCCAAAACATCAAGATGTCAATGGTTGGAGTGCCTAATTGGGTGACGTCATGATAGCTACGTCCGTATTTTTTCTAGTCTATGGTTATAAAGTACTTTGTGAATATGACTCCATATCTCCTGTCTGCAGCTGGAAGCATGCTTCTCCTGGCCACATGTAGGCGAACGTGCACGGGGGTCGCTCAACAGGAGTGGAATCAACCATTCAACTTGCCTCACACAAAAGCCTGCACAAAGCTTTGTTAAAATTTTGGTTACCCATAACACCCTTTGTCTGCATAGTTTTGTCGAGAAATTTTTGTGTATCTTTTAGGGCTGTAACAAAACATCGATCTGGACCAGTACATTGATTCAATTATCAACAATCTAATATCAGGGAAGCAAAGTTGAAACATCAACATATATCAGCATGTACGTATATACTGAGCAATTTTGGGCAGTCCCAGACAAAAGATGACCAATGTGAAAGAAAACTTGCTGGAATCTTGGTCGCTCTAAAACGGTGGTCCTATGTCGCACAGTGAGAGGTTCAAGGATGGCTGTTGTCACAGTCCTGTGATCGAAGACAGCCTGGGATAAAATTCTGACATTGACAGAAATTTGGGATGACCATCTCACTGTGTGACTGGTGCTATGTCTACTACCCATCCAATAGAAATGCAGCATGAAATGACTCACTGGCACTAAACTCAAACAAACACACAGGCAGTAACTCGCCATGGAGGCAAAACGCGCTAAAAGAAATGTGCGAGATTCCAGCAAAGAGGAAAACCTTGTGGAGCTGTGGCAGCAGAAGCCCTGCCTGTATGATGTGTCCTTCAGCTCTTAGCATGATCACATAAAGCAGGACAAAGCATGGAAGGAAACAGCAGTAGAGTTGCAGCTGCCAGATAAGCAACCTAGTAGCTAGTAAATACACACACAGACACACCGCAGTATATAGTACCCACAAAACTTCAGCTTATTTATCAATGTGATGTTGTGTTATGTTGTGCTTCCCAGTTGGAAAAGTAATAACCAGTGCAGCATCCTTGCACACTCAGTATGGGAAGCTATTGCATTGTACGTCATAGCCTGCGATTCAGTAGACGCCGTCATCATATAGTCTGCATACATCAAATCTGATGTTGTACCTAAGTTTATTAGATCCATCTTGCACTAAATGTATAAGATTGCTAAAATCTCAGTCTGTGGGAGGTTTAAGATGCACATTTATTTTGAAATTCCCATGGCATGTCTGTATAAAAGGTAAATGGGCCTGCACTTGTATATCGATTGAATTTTTTTAATTTTATTCATAAAAGCCCAATATCACAAATCACAATTTGCCTCAGAGGGCTTTACGGCATATGACATGGCTCTGTCCTTTGGACCCTCACAGCAGATAAAGAAAAACTCCCCCCAAAAAAACCTTTAAAGCCTTTGGAAACACAGCTTGAAATAGTAAAAATGCATATATTATATCAAAGTCGAGTGTCTCATTAATCATCCACAAAAGTCTGAGTGAAAATAACCATTCATAACTATAAGAAAACCTGGTTTAAAAACAGCTCATTTTGCTGTTTAGACCACTTGCCAGGACAGAATGGGCGTGGCAGATAACGCTCTGATTGACAGCTCCCTCGTTTTGATTGACATCTCCCTGGCTCAGCAATGGCTGCCACAAATTTAATCCAGCCGTACATGTTTGAGCCCTCTGATGATTCAGAGGACGAAGCAGAAGCCCTGCCAGCTGAAAATGATTCCTTTCAGGTGGTCACTGAATGGTAAGTTTCAAAATGTTTTGTGATTCATATTAATGTTACTTCGTTGAATAACTTTTACATGCAATGTTACGGCCGGGCTCCACCGGCTGCAAACGTACAGCATTGCGTCACAGTGTATTCATTTGGGCTCCACTGACTGCGTATGGAAGCAACACGTAGAGAAGCCAGCGGGGTTGTTTACCGTTTGCTGAGCCGAGAGGCTGCATGTAGGCCGCATGAAATGTTAAAGCATTTCCCACCTAAGTTATTACATATATTTGAGTTATCTACAAGTTTACTGTACTGTTTGTCATCTACTCACTTTCAAATGTCCGCCACGGACATTTACACAATGTCACGGATAAACATGGGTAAATGCGTGAAAAAAAAATCATCACATATCACCTCTGATAATGGTTTATTCATTTAAAAACACATTGTGCTCATTTAGCACACTATTTCATGTAATTTTTATCTACTGGAGGGTCATGTAGGGGAGCGTAGCGAGACAAAAATAGAAGAGCAGCGTAAAATAGAGAGTTGTCGCGCCGCTCCCATTGCCGGTGGAGCCGCTGTAATTGATTAACAGGGGGGCGAGCTGCTACGGGACTCGTGCTGCGGATGTGTCGCGGTGCCCGGTGGAGCCCGGCCGTTAGCTGAGATGAATGACAATGGGAGGCTAGCGCTTTGCCTTTCTTCATTGAGATATGTTTTCATTGAAAACATAAATCTGCTCCGTTTTTCTGTTAATAGCCTTTTTCATTCAAACACATCCAGTCTTAATAGATTAAATATGTCTTTACTCTGACACACACACACCGACCCTCAAAGCGGGAGAGACCGGTGCCAGCCGGCCGTCTCTCTGGCGTTGTGTAGAAGTATTTGCCCGCCTCGAATAATGTTCCCCTCCGGCTAAAATTGTGTTGTTTCCCGCAACATCACCTCCGCGACTGGGGATATGTTTATGCGTAGCAAAGCTAACTGCTTAGGGTTGGGGTTAGGGGTGAGGAAGGGTACACATTAAGTCCCCTCCCCGCGAGCCGACACTGGCACCGGGCCCGGGGGGGCAAGCCCGGCCGCTCACAAGCCGCCTCTTCCTGCAGCTCCATGAGCTGCAAAGGCTCGGATTGTCCGGGCTCTGGAGCCGGTCAACCTGATTCGAGTGCTGCTGGGAGCAGCCGAGCGGTTCAGCCAGTTTATGATCTGTATTTTCTAAACATCAGACTAGAAAGATGAGTTGGCTCAGACTCAAAGAGGCAGATTTAGCTGGAGCAGAAAGGTTTTGTTGCGCTGCCACTGGGGGGCGGGATGAGACAACTGACAGATGATTTATGATTGGTTTGGAATTTATTGCGTAATAAATCTCAGAGATAACCACGGCCAAATCAAACCCAATTTCAAGAATGTACAAAAACTTAAAAGACAGATATTTCGAATTTGGATGGAAACTGATTTCTAATTGTTTTACATGTTTACATTCAAACAGTGTTAGCAGCCTAGCAGCAGGCAGATAGTGGCAAGCGGCCAAGTAAAAGACAAAAAGGATACTTACTGGTATCGTCTCATAGTGATCACAGGCCCCTACATTGAAACAAATCAAAACCGTACTGGCCAGATTTTGTGATATCAGCAAATATTACTTAAAAACTTAAAAAATACTAACATGCTAATGATAGCAGGTATAATGTTCCCATGGTCGCCATCTTAGTTTAGCATTCTAGCATGCTAAGACTTGCAAAGTAGAACTGAACACAGTGTGCAGCTGAGACCGATGGGAACATCATTAGTTGTAAAGGTATTTGGGCTTGGATTGCAGTGTTATATTGGTTTCAAGGTATACCATGATATGACAAGAGACAGTTATCACACCATGGACATTTGCTTATTTATGATATTGAAAACAGCTGCAACTGGATGGAGAATCTCACCTTTATTTGGTTTAAAGTTACAATTAAACTGATAAAATGTTTGTTCAACCAAAAAAAACCCTACTGTTTTCATTCCTTTAAGGGTCATTCTGACTGATAATAATAATTCTGTAATACCAGGAAATTGTGATGTGTTCTAAGATGATTATCGTACAGTAAATATTTCATATTGTTTAAAACTTAATTTGGGCATGATCAGTGTGGCAGTAGCTGACAGCAGGCACCAAACTTTGTGACCCTTTGTATCATTCTGTGTCCCCTCTCTAAATTTGAAGGTTTGTATATCCCAAAAATGCTCCTAATGAACGGTCCAGCTCCAAAAACAGAAATTCAGTATGAGGTGCCAGATGCTGATACTGTGGCAGGCTGCCACACATAAATGAGTGTGGGAAACCCTAATGAGCCTTTTGGTGCTTCTGTTTAAAACTATTTTGACGAAACTTTTTTTTCCAAACAGAAACCCACAAACTCACTTTCTGACAAGTAGGTATCCACGAGCTGTCTTGCATCAGGCATTTACTAAGGCTTATGAGAAAAACAAAAATGAAGTATTGACCAAATATAAACCCAAAATGAAGAAAAC